CTATAATGGTCATTTTACGCATCATGAATTATAAACTATACGCACGTGGTAAATCCATTGATAAGAGACTAAAAAGGCTAAATTACTCATTTTGCTCAGATAATAGATTTCACTGATCTTCATAAATTTTATCAGTTTTGTTTCTTTTAGCTCAAAGCCAAACATTGACAATGGACAAAATGAGTTCTGTCTACCGCAGAGAATAGAACTCCGGATTTTAGAGTTGGAAGTCTGTAAACTTATCATTGACCCACTGGGGACAAAATTTTATCAGTATACTTACTTATTCATTTCATGAAAGTCAAGTAGCTCCTGTTTGAACTTAAGCATAATGGGCTATCTGTGCTCTGCCCACCATGGGTATCGCAACCTGGTTTCTAACGTTGTAAGTCCGCAGACATACCATTGTGTCACTGGTGGGGGCATGAAAAAGTAAGCCGATGTACACAGAGTTACATTCATCTGAATGTGTAAAATATTATCTATTTTTTGTAGAATTACATATGTCATTTTGCAGTGTGTTTATAATGCTGTAGCCTACTAGTCTATTGTATTTAAGTTCCGTCACGGTTGGATATATGTTCATATTTTATTTTAAATTCTGTAGTAGTAATCACAATTGACGCTGCTTTTATTTGTACTTTATACTTTATTTTATTTTCTGGGGGTGAGCGGGATCGCTAGGACTTTAAACCAAAAATGTCATCGCCTCCAGGTATTCATATCTGTAGAACCTCAATGCAGCATGTGACCAAAGCGAATGTCCCATTATTCTCCGATTGATAAGAAGAAAATAGCAGAAAAGCCAGTATATAGTTGGTGTTTTGCATATGTGTGCTGTTGAACCCCAAAATATTAAAATCCCTTGGCTTTAATTTTTAGTTGAAAGCAAAACTATAGCACAAACACATTAGAATAAAAAAATGCGCTAAGTAATAAGCGTATTGCAAAAACGTACCATATTTAGCAGTGCTTACAACTAATAGCCTCCACTTTGCAGAAACGTGTTGATAAACGTTTGTACGTAGAATACTAATCTACACACACACACTAAGCAAAAACCCATATTTAAAAACAAGTATCCTAAACATTTTTCTAAACACATTGGTTAACTCGTTTATAAAACACTGAACAACTTCAGTATGTTATACTCAGTAATTATACATTCTTATAAATTGTTTAATAATTATACAATGTGTCATTTGTCTCAATATTGAAGAATTAGGATAATATTACACCGTAGGAAGATATAGCACAAGTGTAGTAAACTGTAATCTACATATATTATACTAACCTATCCTATGATGACGTATGAATGTAGTGGATTGTTTATCGGCTCAGAACGCAGGCAAGCAGTTTGATTTAGTAGTTTAATTTAGAAATGTGCAGTGTCATTAGCAAACTTTAATAATTTTATTATGAATATGGTTTGTTGGTTTGTATTTTTTCCCTTTTCTCTTCTGTATCGAAGAGCTATGAAGCATCGTAGTTGCACGTTTAGCATAAGGTTCCTTTCACGTTAAAAATATCGAACACAAAATTTGAAAAGACCATACTATTCTTAAAATTTGAATCCATAAGCTGTTGAAAGTATATTTGAATTTTTTTAAAAGTTAGATAATCTTGTTATTTAATAAAAGGTAAATGAAACCACTTTTGTAAAAAACAACAACAAAAAGACGTGAGTTTATGAGTTCTGTGTATGAAATTTTGTAATGTTGAATACATTGTATTATAGCTAATAACTACTCAACTTTTCTAATATTTGATTAGCAAATGGTAAGTTTATAACTTCGAAATTAGAAGTGTCTTGTTTTATCAAGTATTTTGTGTTTGATACTTTTATCTTAACTCAAATAATGTGCAGTTTTTTTAGTGAAGTAAATATGTTATTAAGTAGTATCAAGAAACTTTGGCTAAACAGTATGAAGAGTAATACTGTACAAATACGAAAATCATGTAAATTATTTTTTAGTCTTCTTTATTAAATTTTGTTACAAATAAAATTTTAAGTGTAAATAATAATACTAAATCAAGAACTTTAGGGTTGAAATTGTCAACCTGAAATATTCTCTATATTTGCTGAAAATATGTTATAAAGTAAAAAGATGCGCATCTTCTAATAATTCGTTAAATGCTTCTTTTTACTATTAAAATTATCATTAAAATATTTGTTATCTAATAAAAAATAATAGTTTAGTACAACTTCTAAAATGGTATAGATATTGCTGAGGAAAGTTGTTTTTAAGTTTTATTTAGGATGGCTCGTATTAAGGTTACAAGAGCCAAAAGTTTCAATTGTTTTAGCATGAATATCTTTACGTTTTTACTTGAAATCTATAGAATAATTGATGATAATTAACGGTTTAATTCTGTCTTTTTCTTCGATGATTTTTTTGCCACATTGGGTTAAATACTCCTTAATGTATTAAGATCCTCACTGATTAGGTTTTATAATTCGTTAGATACGGGTCTCTTTTTACTGGCAATAAACCTGTATTTGAATATAGATTCTCGTAATTTGAGAATCCAGAACAATTTAGGTATTATATTATTACATTTTCCGAATTAATCATCAATGGATAAGACCGTAATATCTTTTTTGCGATGCTGTCTTTATCGGTTTTAACATGCTTGTATGTACCTCGTATATAAATTTATTAGTATTTGTAAGTTAAGCTCTAGATCTATATATATATATTAAATTTAAAACTAAGTTTTACTGGCGGGAGTTGTGAAATGTAATATGTAGCTACTGTAAACTAATTCCCACTATCATTTAATATGTGAATATATTTTCATTCAAGTACTTTTACAATTTCTGGTACAGAACTTTGCATTTAGTCACAAGATATAAATCAATAGGATGTGTTCAACTTTGAACTCGTTAACCGTGCCTCAGAGAAAAGTTCCGAACGTTGAACATCTAAGCCCAAGTCTTGTCTATTCTTCACAGGTTTCCTATTTGCTGGATAATTCAGTGAATTAATATCACTGGATTTCTAGAACGTTGGTTATTTGTGTTTAGAGCTAGATGAACCCAAAACTCTGATTTCCCTTTTATGTTAATGAGGCTTGCCTCGTAACATGGTGACCTTGCCGAATTGGAATCTTGGTAAAGCCTTGACATTTTTTATAACACTAAGCAGTGTTATTTTTTTATTGTTGATTATCTATGTAAATTTACATTTTTTAAGTGAAGTCCTATTTGCTGTACACAGAGACGCTAGCCAAAATATAAGGGAAAGACTTTGTCCAACTTGAGATCACAGGCCATAAAGGTCTAGGTTCTACTTTACAAAGGCTTGCTCAAATGTGTATTTTTCTTTATGAAACTGTAATCAGTGTTTTGTTCTTTTGGTTGAGTTTCACTTGTTGCCTCTCTGCAAACAAAATTCTCCAAATATTCTCTTCCGTGATATTAATATATTGTTTGTTCGATCTAGGTTCACCTGGCAACAATATAAAGATATATTAACTATGCGAAGAATTTATGAACTGACTAACTTTCTTTTGTTTCATAAGTTGCTGTTAATAGTAACATTTATTTTATGCGTTTATGGATTTCGTCCTCAACTCATTTCCGATTTTTTAAATTCATTAACTTTTAAGTTTTCATTTTTTACAACATTTATGCAAACACTTTTAGAATATTTACTAATGAGTTGTTTTGTGTGCATCCAGCTAATTTTGGTATACTCCCGATACTTGGGACCAATTTTTGTTATTAAGAACCTTAAATTATCATTATCCATGACAGTAAAACTTCCTATTGTGACGGATTTACTGTCATATATCTATTTTAATATCGATGTTTGTTTAAGTTAAATTTATACGCAGGAATGTACATAACTTATAGTGTTAATTCTGTATTGCGAAATTCCCGCCCATTCACTAAAATTGTAGAAAATTATCGAGAGTAAGAATCAATAATATATGTGTGTGTACGTAAATACTGGTGTATCGTTTGTATTGTTACGTAAGCTGAAATTTCGAGAAACTCTCCTTACGGCTATTACTGTAACCAACGCGACACGCCAAAAGACAGTATATATTATTGGTTTGCCATAGTTAAGTCCCTTGGACTGGGAAAATTGTAGAAAGCTTCCTCACTCAGAAGGCCATTCTTTCATCAGAATCAACGCGTATATTGTTTAACAGGCCCTTCGCAAGTCAATGGGGGACATTTGTGATTAAAAAAAAACAACTATCTAATCCGGTTTTTCTTAAGTTGAACTGAATTTTTTTGGACATTTGGGTAAAAAGAAGGAATTTCCTGCACTCTTTTAATGTTAAGGCTGCGAAAAGTTATTTGAAGTGGTAAGGTGACTGAAATCTGTCAGCGCATCACAAACTTAACGGCCAAGCACAAGAAGCATGGAAGTCTCCAAATGACACACAAAGGTATTAAGGAACCATTTAGAACACCTTTGTAAATATTGTTCAGTAAGCCGAGTGCAATATTATGTCTGTAGTTGCTTTCAAACTGTTCTTATCTGCTCATCCTACTGTTGACTATCATGATGCTTCGACCTTCCTTACCGAATCGCAGGTGAAATCGTTCGTAATTAAGTTGAAAGCTAAGTATAAAAACGTGATAGCAGAAGCATAAAAGGTTGACAATTGTTTAATTAATGATGCTGAAAATGTGGCTTTATTGATATATACTGATTTTACTCCCAGCGGGTAGACCTTAGTACTAGCTAGTATGGAGACTTGAGGATGCTGGATTTCACTTTAAAAACTTATCAATTAACACACAAAAATTTGTCTCGAAGTTGTCTTGAAAAGATACGTCCAAAATCGCTCTCTTTGGGAGTTTCCGGATTGAACTTACTTTTAATATTCAACAAATTATAGTGTAAAGACACCCCTTGACTCCTGAGGGACGTGTTAAATATTCTCACTTTACAAATTAATATGGTTAGATGTATTATACAGTATCATACAGCTCATGCAATTATTTATTTGTTTTAACGCGAAATGAACGTGAGACTAAATCGCAGAAAAAAGCAATATTTTATTCCCTTACGAAGAACATTAAACTGCCGAAGTACAATATGACTGGACAGTTTTTGCGTTCTTAAGGCATCCAAAAACCAACCACAACAGTTAGGTACGATATTTAATTATGTGATTATACATAAACAACAACCAACAAAATTGGCTTTGATGCGATTACATACAGGAGATGTACGAATGCCACTGCATCGCCCAAAAAAACCGGGACTACTTGGTCGAAGCATCTATCACAGTTATATTCTGAAGGGACGTAGACGCAGGCACTTCAAGGTATCCACCGGGCCAAATGGTTCCTCTATTTAAAATTCTTGTTACATAAAACAATTGACTAAGTCACAAACATCAGTTTTAATTCCATGATTTCACAGAGAATCACAACCGTCAGTAAAATCGAGGACAAATTACCTGGAAAGAAATTCCAAACCAGTTATATGTGAGGAGAGAATGTTGGATCACAAATATTTTACATTCAAGTTCTGAAGTTTACATTTCAACAGTATCGTGTATAATTTCAGGACTAATTTTTTCTTGTTCAAAACATAAATGACATAATGGAGTTATTACGTCATTAGGTTTAAGCATGAGTAATTTGTGCAAACTAATGTTAAACCTGTTTTTTTTAAGTAGAAGTTTTACATAAACTTGCTCACATTTTCAATGTAATTACTAAACAAAACAGAAAAAAAAACAGTTTTGAGATGCCTTCTATGCAGCCTGCTTATTCATAAAACTCCAGAGTTAAACATTTGAACTAAATTTCTCTAGTATTTTTCTGAGTGCCAAACTGAGTTACATAATTATTAAAACTACTGATAATTCTGGCACCTTCTCACTGTGTTGTTCTGTACGGGTAGAAATGAAGGTGTCATAAAAATGTAAAATATGCAAAACTTCGTCTTCTAGCTTAAATGATTTTTTTATTGTCAACTTAGTTTATGTTTTCATTTATAAAAATTGACTTCTATTCTTTGTTTGTTGTTATACATAAAGCTACGCCATGGCCTATATGTGCTCTACCCATCGCGGATGTTGAAATCCGATTTTTTTGCGTTATAAGGCCTCAGACACCCGAGAGTGGAGGGGCGTAATTTTTATATAAACACATATTAACTTTTCAAAGGTAATTGCAAATGTACAACAAAAAATGTATTTGTAAAAAAATAACAAAATTATATATATCAAGAAGTACAAGCAAAATGTACTCTTTGCTTACATTGATTGACTAATAATTAATACTTACAATAAGGATTTCCTGCAGAATCGCGTATCCATTTTGTAGTGGAAAAATCTGCAACAAACAATATTTTTCAGAAAACATTCAAGTATGTAAGCTTCACGTCGTAAATATGCAACTTTGTACACGCATTAGAAGGTAACATCTTAATACGGTGAAAAATGGCGATTTCAGATTTCTATACGGTGGGTATGTGAGTTTTTAAAGAATAAGATATTCCAGTAATTATTTCTATAGTGATTCATTCTGTGTTATTATACGGACCAGATAATTATATATGTAACTATATGGAACGTATTATAACTATAAGTGGGCAACATTTTGACACCTCATGTATTTTCGAGAATTACTGAAAAAAAATTAACTCAATAACAGTAGAAAATTCAACCCGATATTCATTATAGTAATAAACAGAATACTCCTAATATTTTAGAGTTTTTACTGCATACTGGAGATATTTAGACATTTTGAAATAATGTTAGAATAAAAACGACCTTTACCATCCAGATAATAATAAAAATACTTTCTATTTTAGCCAACGTTTTACCTGACGAAGAAGCAATGCCGAAATGTTGGCTGAAATAAAAAGTTTTTATAATTATTATTAATATGTGAGAACGTTTCAATTCTAACGATTGCTACATGAGTGGATAACGATGATTATGCATACCCTTGTGTGGCTATTAACTAAAGCTTTATTTCCTAGACATTTCATAAGATAGGATGAGAAGTTTAGCATATACATGGTCATGAATTAGCTTGATCAAGAACAGTAAGGTTTTAGTTTAAACATTAAACTTGAAATATGATCACCATGCATTAGTTTTATTACAAAATGTGGGCAGAACGCTTCACTGTAGTTAGCGTTCCAGATTGCGAATCTTAAGTTCTATGGTCGCGCCCCGTTACTACTGAAAAAAATAATCACGATCAGTAATTTGTGGCCGTGAATGCGTTATAAGAGTGACAATAAATATCACTGTTTGATATGAGAAGAGTTGATTGACCGTGGGTGATGTTGAATAACTGCCTTCTCTCTAATCTTATTCCAAATTAGGAACAGTTAGTTTTGCCGAAATTCAGCAAAACAAACAAACAATAACGAAACGTACCTTCAATACTTTAAAGTTACGTGTAAAAATTTATAGTTCCAATGTAGGAAAATATTAACATCCTTTGTGGCTGTAGAAGGATGTACGTGTTCCTCATTGCACATTTATTTTATTATATATTGCATTAGTATAAATACCTACACAGCATCATGCATGAAAACACACATTCTAAAATCTGCAGAAAAAGTTAGTTACGGTATTGTAGTAAAATGGAATAGAATGCAAGATATGATGGTGACTGAAGTACTGGGAATGAAGGGTTTAAAGGTTTATTATAACTACTACAGAATAAAGCCAAAATTGTTTACAGGCAACATTCGCGAAAAATATACATTCCTACTGCTTTAGGTTAATAAAGTAGATATTAAAAAACTTAGACCACAAATAATCTAGAACAGAAAGAATGCATCTTTTAATGGTATAATAATACGGAAGGGCTATTTATTTCATTGATACTGGAAATTTATAATTGTCTTATGGGTGGTAGTGCTAAACACGGCGGTTTAAAACTGACTCTGCAACCGAAACGGACAGCATTTATGTTGTCATTCTTGCTGATTCTTAGTTCAAAGCTATACAATGAGCCATCTGCATTTTACACCATGAAAAATCAAATTTCATATTTTAGCGTTGTAATTTTTAAACGTACCATTCACGTATTGGGATCAACATTTTTTGAAATTTGACTTCTGATGACAAATATAGGGGAACTATTTTACCTCATTTTCTACTGGAGCTGTTGTATTTAGGATAAGATGATTTATACATACATACATAGGTAGACAGGTAGAATTTCTTTGTGCATTATCATAAAATTATCTTTTTTAGAACTTTTAGATCTAATTCTGAAAATTTTACGCAAGGATAAAAAATGCTCTGCAATCTTTGACTTCAATCTACTACGTTAGCATGTATATTTCAACTTGAAATCATAAAACGGATAGCTTTATTGGAATATTTTGCCTTTATTTTGATTTAAAAAAGATGAAAAAGATTTCTGTCTCAAAATCAGGTTTTTTGAATCCGAAAGAAAAACTATAACAGTAATGTACACTTCTTGACTTTATTTTGCTTTTGAAATCATAATACGTAACTTCGTTTTGCTATTTTCAGCCATATTCATTTTAGGCTGTAACCTTTTTTGTAATCTTACTCCATTAAAATTTCTATTTATCGTTATTAAGTTTATTGTCTAGCTTTCGAGGTCTCATTTTGTGTATTACTATCGAAGGAACTCTCGTCTTTCAAAATTACGTACGTAATTGACGAAAGGTTACTTAAAACGGGAACATCCAAAAGTAATTATGAGCGATTTATTGTTGTCTAATAACTAAGCATTATCAAGGGATGATCGACACCCTCTGTTTTTTTTCAGAAATTAATTATACATTTCTTTCTTTTGTTAAATAATATTAACCACAGTTATACAATCATACAGGCAGACTTCACAGAATACACTTGCTTCCCAAATTAGACGGTAAGAGATCCTTCCGTTATTAGTTTCTAAACAAGCACAGTTGTGTAGCGTATTCATTGACAAGATACATTGAGTGGTTCCCCATAAGAAATGTTTGTGTTCATGAATAAAATATGTTTAACCACTCGGGAGGTAGCATCACATTGTCGCTAGTTCCTGAAACTGCTTCAATTCCTGCTAAATATGGCACATTTGTTAATCAAATTCACAAGCCAGTGTGAAAGTTCAAGTGAATAAGAAGATAATAATAAAGATGGTTGATAAAACACAAAGCATTTTATTTACAAGGTTCGAACGTTTCGAAATACACCCATTCCATCTTCAGCGAAATCTGAAAAATCATATCATTGTTAAACAGTAATTTTAAATTTTTGTTCAAATTATTTTATTTTACACGAAGAAATTACCCTTCTACACAAACACAAGTTACATAATGGCTATCCCGCTGATTTTCTAACGAAGATTACACGCAATTTCCTAAACAACAAATTCCAACCACCAGCACATCTGCACATCGTCCCCAAGTTTCCTTTCATCATCTCCCTTCCTTTTATGGGTTCACAATCTCTATAAATTCAAAAAAAAATGCTCTTTCGTAATAAAAAACTTCTACCTTCAAATTTAACTCGGACAATATACAGAGTTTGCATTAAACAATTTTTTCAATACAAATATCAACTGCCTAAACTTCTACGTTGATGGCTCGTGTAGTGACTGTCACGTCGCGTACATCGACAAAACAAAACGCCACTAGAAAACTAGAGTCTGTGAACATTTAGGAATATCTAACAGAACCGATCGTTCATTACGTAAATCCAGCCACCCATCTATTCGTTCATATTCTGAAACCATGGGTCACAATAATTCATTTAACGATTTCTTTGTCATCACCACACGATCTTCAGATCTTGAACTATACATTAAAGAAAGTTTACTCATAGCTAAAGATCACCCGACTTAACGACTCACAAAGCTCTTTAGATCTATAATTGTTTTAAGTTTTCACACCTAAACTCGACTGTTGTTTTTGTTTTATCTTTCCGTTTATCACTTCTTTTAAAAACTAAGTAAATTAGTGATTATGATATTATAGTTTTAATTAATAATCATATTTGTAATATTATTTTCATATTTCGTTGAAGATAAAATGAATGTATTCCGAAACGTTCGAACCTTGTAAACAAAATGATTTGTGTTTTATCAACCGTCTTCATCTTCATTATTAGACTTCGGTTTCACCATCATGAATAAGAAGATGAGTTTTGTTTTTCGTCTATCTTTGTCATTAATTATGTGTTTTTATAATCTATTTGAACATTTAAAAGGTTAACATATTTTAATTTCCACTTCTTTGAAGTTATCTTGCCATATAATCATAAACACTTAATACTTTAACACTTAACTGTCGTGGCAATGTCATTTATTTTAATGTATTTAACAACTCTTTTAAAACATTCCATATTAGGCATTTATAGTTTACCTAGTGTTTATTTCTTTTTATGTCATGTTATCAAAGTTATTTTTACTTGTTTATTCACTTGGTTCTTTATTCAATTCGAGTTAGAATATGATTTCTTTGTTTGTCATTAAGCACAAAGTTAAACAATAAGCTCACTGTGCTGTGCCCACCACGAGTATCGAAAGCCGGTTTTTAGCGTCATAAACCTTCAAACGTATCGGTGAACCACTGGGGAGCTCTGGAATATCACATTAATGTGTTACAAATAATATAAATAATACAATATAAATTGTGAGTTGTCCTTGCTGCAATTAATCACTGAAGTTTACTTAAAACTTTGATATTGCATTTTCCTTCTGTTAAAAAAAAATATAAATGTTAATAGAAAAAAAAATCTACTACTATTTGACATATGGAACTTATTAAGATCGCAGTGGGCAACACAACCAATACCGTTACTGAGTGACAGGTGCAAATTTGAGCTGTTTGTTAAATTTGAATTTTCGCGTAAAGCTAAACTAGTGCTATTTGCGTGTAGAGGTTCCTAACTTAGAACTGACAAAGTTGAGGTAAGACAACTAGCCAATATTACTTATCGCCATCTCTTAGAATGTATTTGTCTGACCGACACAGCTCCCAGTGGCACAGCGGTATGTCTGCGGATTTAACAACGCTAGAAACAGGGTTTCGATACCCGTAGTAGGGAGAGCACAGATAGCCCATTGTGTAGCTTTGTGCTAAACTCCAAACAGACAAACTAAATAACCAATACAGGGATTCGACCGTCGATCTCATAGAGACTACACGACGCCAAAATGCGGAACAAGTGTTTACTACAAACGGAACGCAAACTAAGAGCTATCGGATCCACAGTCCTGGCACGGTAAACACTTGATGATGCCCGGTCCTCCCGTATGAGGCTGTTGAATAAGAAACGTCAGCTAATTAGACCTGATATTGTTTGCCTAACATGAATTACTATTTGTAGAAAATATTCTTAAAATCGAAAATTTAAGGAAAAATCAACTTTGGAATTTTAACACTAGAGCGCATCTCGGTGGCTCAGCACAGTAAGTCTGACGGCTGATAGTGATGAAATAGGGTTTTGATACTCTCGGTGGCACAGAACAAATAGCCCGTTTTTGATCTTTGTGCTTACCAACGAAGAAACGAACAATAACCCCAGAACTACCAATGGGGTGCATATGGACACCACCTGTTTTGAAAAGTATTCTTCTAAACTATTTAAACACCATATTGTTTTTGAGTCATTAACTTTATTGGTCAGCATCTCTAACTCTAATAATACGAGTTACACAAATAAAGTAAACAAAAATACTATTAATATTGCAATTAATACCACTAATTCCATCTGCGGTTCACAATCTGTTTTACATATAAAATGAGTGTCAGGATATCATCCAAGTTGTTTTGGTCAGCCCGTTACACTGAATCCTTAACGGGCAGAAACATAAAATTACTCAATATATTGCAATAGTGTACCTTAACGGCAATGAACGGTATAAAATAGATGGTAATTTGAAAGTTCATTACTTTCGTGTTACAAGAGTAAAAAAAAAAGTAATTCAACAAAATGTTGCATTTTATGATCTTTTCCATTATTTGTTTTTTTTATTCTTATTCTCTCCAGAGGGTGACTATTGTGTTATTCTAAACACTACAAAGATATTCTAGAAAAAATAACTTTCCACAACCTTACAGTGTTATAACTTTCTATAACTTTCCAGTGTTATGTTTTTTTGGAGGAAAAATATGAGATATTCTATCCAGGAAAGAAAAATATCCGAATAAAGAACTACTTCGAGAAAAAGTTCAGTAAACAGTTTAAAGAACCCACCAAAATATGCGTTAGATCTTGATATCTGTAGGGAAACTAACAACTACTGTATGTTAATGTAAATATGGGTCATCCTCTACACTTACAATGAGACTCAACGATAAGAATTTGACTTCTACAGTTGATTGGAAAACTAATTTTCATATTTGTGAAAGTACAGAGTTTCATTACTGAAAAATACCTTAGTCAAATAACTTATGGTTTTATGGAGGAAAGAAACTGGGACTATTTCCAATCATTTTTTGGCCTGTTTTTTTTTTTGTTTTTTTCGTACATCTGAATCATCTGATGGCGAGGAACGCTCGACTCATATCTGCGAGCATGTGTTTGTCCATTCAGCCGGGGGAGGGGGGGAGGGCACTATATCGTGACGATCTATACCAACAATAGTTGATAAAGAGTAGTTCAAGAGTTAGCTGCCTTCCCTCTAGTCCATCACCTATAAATTTGGAACGTCTGACGCAAATAGCCCTAAAGTAACTTTGCGCGAAATTCAACAAAACAAATAATTGAATATAGTTTTTAAATATTTGTTTAACAACAAGTAAAAACTTGGAATGGTCTGTCCTTTCATTGGAGGTGTGTCTGTGGACCAGACTAGTTTCGGAGAATTCCACTCCTCATCAGTGACCCTGGACACTACCACCAATGAAACTTCAAACCAAACCAAGCCTTTATAGTATTTCAGAAGAACTTGCGAACCAACAAGCTAGTCTTCTCGTTTCTGACTGGAGTCAACCAACCACAGGATCAACGGGAAAAATACATTAGTAATTCCAATAATCTACGATTAAAAACAAATAATTTTGATAATATATCAACACTCTATACTTCCTATATTTTGTGCCGACGAGGTTTTATTAGGTCGGCTGGAATATGTCAGACATAGTAGTGGTCTTCTTATTGGAATAACTATTGCACTAATATCAATCCATCATCAGTTATTCTGAACTTCTACGTGTACGTCACTGAACAAAAACTAAGAAGTAACGTATCTGACAACAGATCTTTGGAATTTCAGTTCAACTGTGGTGAATGTAGCAAACAATAAAAATGTTTCAGTTCAGGAGTGATGCTGATTGAGTTGATAATTTTTCTCCCATGAGACTGACTCGGTTCAAAGTCAAGCTCAACAGGGTATTCTTTCCACGCTGATTTTTTTGTGTAAAAGTGGTCCTTCATTGTAAATAGGATTACATCATTAAATTATACTTGGTTAATCAAAGGTATCTAATTTCACTGAACATTGAGTCGCCACATTGAGTCAAATAGCATCCACCACCGTATGGTCAAAGGTCAAACAAGTCTAAAGTATCGCTAACCTACTAACTTTTAGCTACTTAAGATTAATTGCACTTTATAAGAATGATATTTGAGACTCAATGTTGACATTGGCACTATTTCTTTTATTTTTAATTGTACTCAGTCTGACGGTTGTGGTTATTCGGCACTGTAATTCTGTTGTTGAAGCTTATGCCAAGGATAACAAGATCAACCTTACACCAAACTTCTTGATAAACTTTCCATAGACCCTCTACTGTACGTGAACATTGGCTTCCAAGACTATTTATAAGCAGACGAAAGGTATAACGAGCCTATTGTACTTTGCATAAATATACTTGATAGGTATTTAGTCGAAAGGAATTGCAGTGATTCCTGTTTGTTTCACTACTGTTCTTTTAAAAAAAACTTGTAGAAATATTTTGAGCTTTAAACTTCTAAACCTTTGTCAGGTTAAAATCTTTGTTTATTTTCCAATAAGCAGTAACAGAAGATAGCAAAGCTCAATTTCAATGACTATTTAGGTTAGAAGGTTAACTTGTGTAAGTATATATTTCAAATTATGTCTGTGGATCGTACTTCATATTGACTTGGATGTATTTTCAAAGCCATGTTACTGTTCCAAGTCTCTGATTGCGTGCTATTTTCTACTCCTGTGGAAAACATTGAAGAGTCTTTCTTCAAATTGTGTTCTTTGGTATTGTATAATTTTAACAATCTCTCTGTACACATATCCTTTCTCGTAAAGCTCTGTAACATATTCTTTGAACTATATACGTATAAGTAAAATGTTGAACTATTGAATGGTAAGAAACTCACAGATAATTAAAGCATAGGTGGTAAAAATATTGCCCTTGTAACATCATGCCACTATTATCATGTGCATATCGTTCTTATAAGGTGCGGTAACCACATGTATAAAGAATTTTAACTAAACTAACTTTAAACTATATTTCAAAGTATAATATTATTGGAAAGTTATTGTAAGTACATTAAGCAGTGTAAATTCGTAAGACGCTTAGATAGTTGTATGGTTTACTAAAAGATGTTAAAACTTATGAAACAAATTTATCAACAAAGTACTAAAGATGTGTTTCTTTTTTTATTGTTAACATATTGCAAAATCTTACAAAATAAAATACTGAAAAGAAGTAATAATTTACAATATTTTACGAAATGAAAAGCTGAAAAGAAGTAAGAATTTATTTTTGTCTTGATTAGTTAAGCTGTTAAAAAACAGAAATTAATTTACAAGAATCTTAAAAGATATCTACAATTACTATGTTAAGCAGATGCTGTCGAATTTATCTTAAACGAACGTAATCCTAGAATATTTCTCCATCTGCATGTTTCTGTTGTTTCAATATTAAACTTGAAATTCACTTACTTGTTTGATTCGTGAATTGATAAAAGGCCTTAAATCCCATTCCGTCAAATTGATTATTAGATCTGAACGTGACAAGGAAAAAGTCTCCTTCGGATTCAATAGTCTTCGGTTTATTTAATCCACAGTGACGAGCAAGTTTGAAAACAGCAGAGCGCTTACTAGAAAACTCTACATAATCACTGGCAGTTTCCTCTGTGCAGCTAATGGTAAAGATAAAAAAAGGGAAAATTTAATTAAAACTAACACGTGGACAATGTGTGCGTGCATTGGTATTTGTATAGAGCTGAGGACCTTTACCTAAATGAACACCATTGTATTAACGACATACTTTGGTGAGTAATCTTACTATAAAAATGATTTATTACGTGTGTGTTTTAGCATCTGGAAACTGTCAGACGGTGAACACTGGCTATTTTGTATTAGAATTTTAGCCGAGAAGGATGATAAAAAAAAGAATTTGAAATAGAGCCCATTTCCACTTTTTTTAAATAGACTTTTAGCTTCCATCACCCAAAGTTGGCTGCCTCAATAATCGTAATTTATTGTATGGTAACTGCAACCTCTCAGACGGTGTACACAGGCTATAATGTTTTAGGGGTTTTGTCCAAGAATGGGATAAAAAAGCCCTTGAAATAGGGTACGTTCCCAAAGTTTCAAAGAATTTTGAATATAAAAACATACATACTCAGTAAATGAGACAATTATTGCCTGTAACAAAACGGGGTATGCAATTACAATCTAATGAGGATATTATGAATTTAATAACCAAAGAAAGAAAGAAGGGGGAACTAAAATTAAGATAAAATACAATTTTGACATTGTCAGTTGTGATATATTTACCTTTGTGTAAAATGAGTTAGTGGTTCTGTACTATTATTAGTTCTTACACATGCATCATAACTTGTATTTTTTCACATGCATAGTAATAAGTGCCCCTATTATGGACTAAAAGTATTGTGTTAGCTTACATAAATTATAAAACCCTTGAAAACATGATAAGACTATCATTGTAGTTTACATGATATAACGTGAAAATGCTATAAGCCTTTTGTGTACTTAACTTGTCAATAAAAGAACCAAATAAATATAACTTAAACAGTATGTTTCTCTTCACATAGTCCTATAATGTCCTTGTGTTACCTTTGAGTTTTGTGCACGGTTTTTAGAATAATAATTTATTAGATTTTATTAAAAACCTTGGTAAGCTAGGAAGCTGAACTAAGTCTAATGGATTGACCTTAGGTCAAGGCTTATTGAAACTGACAGACTACGTAAATAAAACTGAATCTCAAAAATTCCATATGAAGAGTTTATTAATAAACCAAAAGGAAATTATTCTAATCGGGTTAGCATGAAGCAAATTACCAATGGACAAAACACTATTTAGTCTAACATGTTGAACAACTATTGCACTTTCATGTTACATATTAACTCAAAAATGTTTACATGGAATGGTGTTGAATACAAAAACAAAGCTAGGTGTTAAAAAAAGGGTGACAGCTATATACTTACTTAGAGACTGTGATAAAGGGTTAACTGAACTTAAGAAAATTGCTCAAAAGTTTCTAAACTCCTCCTCGTAGTTTTAAGTACTTTAATTAATATCAGGCTTCTAGTCTATCTTAACACTATTTTTCATATGTGAATATTATTCCTGTAGGATTCAAAACTGCACACAGTACCTCTTCATCCACAATATCATTATTATTCTTAAATTCGAGATTATTGAAAATAAAACCAAGAAATATATATATTTAATTATAGTAACAACTACTTTTTTCTAAAATACCAATGTTTCGCTTAAAAATGCTAAATCCAAATTATTATATCAAAAATGCAAAACTTTTCAATATCCATACTACTTCTCCATATTTTAACCATTCTTTTTACTATAGTTTTTAATGTTCTTTTGAGTAAAGGAATCATTTACAACAGAATCAGTTCTTCTCAGCATTATAAAATCAGTAAATTAAGATATATTACTGACCAAGGATATATCTACATCAAAGACATAAATAATATATAACAAATGTATTAAAATGATTCTTGATTCAACTCCACTAGTCAGATTTTTCTAGCAGAAAAAAAAGTTAAAGATGCCCGTTTATTCATCAGTAAAAAAAAAAAAAACAACAACTAGTGATTTCTTTCTGCACTTGACAATGTTTGTTTTTTACATAACCAGATTCCCATCTCATTTTCTTAAAAGAACAATATTACCCTTCACTGACGCCTTTAGTTAACGTAAAAACCCTTAAGTCACATTATAAGTATTGAACCAAGAAACTTTTATAATTATTTTTATTCATAATTATAGCTTTCTTAATTATTTTTTAGTTATTTATTTATATAAATCTTTGTATTTTTCATTTTACAAGTGAATTTTAATTCCTCCACTAATCCATTTAAGAAATTAATTCACGGTGGAAAGTAAGTTTGTATTACGACTATACTTTTTATCAGCTACCTCAATCGAATTTAAAAAAATATTTCAAGTTTCTTTAGCATACATCTGATTCAGACTAGGCACCTACTTTTTCCCTCTCTATCTTTCAGATTTTAAAAGTCAGCTTTTCTAAAATACAGTAAACGATGCGTATTAATTTATAACTGTTCCAAATAAAAATAACAAAGATAATAATACTTTGCATAAGTACTCTTGCACAACCAGATTTCAAATCACATCCTGCTCTATACTAAGGACAATATATGACATAGTCTTCCCTAGTAGGATCTTTTACATTCTGAATATAAAAAAGCAACAGTCCCACAACCTCAAATTTGTTTCAGCCACAACCAAGCAGGAAGACAGAATACTAAAATCAAATTCCAGAAAATTGAAGTCCCCAATAATTACAAGCTTGTTTCTATTGGCAACCTTACTAATTTGTTTTTTTTATGTATTATATTTTTACATACCCCAAAACCTCGTCAATGGCCTATATAAAATGTCAAAAAGTACATTTTTCTCTATAGTCTCAACTATTCTTATTAACTTTCAGCTTATTTCAAACAAACAGTATTCCTCTCCTCTTCTCTTAGCAGTTTCTAGGGAAACACTCAAGACTGTTCAACACTGTAGAAAATAATATGTTTGTTATCTTCACATAACTAATGTTCGACAATATCAATAACATTTAGCATGCTAACCACTGCCAAAGCTTTTGATTTTAGCAACTTATTAGAAAGGTAAAATACTTTTCCTCGTCAGTATTTAAATTTAGTTAAGTCAGTCCTTAAAATAAGTCTATTTTCCAACATTCTTAAATGAAGTCTATTTAAATATTTCCGTGTACTTAACAAGTAAAAATAATCCCCATAAAGTTACTTGGTCATTTATATCCTTAAGGATCCAAAGTATATCTCTGAATTTGGTTAATAATTCCCCACATTTGCTATCACTAACACCATTAGTTTCAATGTACATTACAAACAAGAGATATTTCTTAGCTTTTGTCAGCAAATTGTCTAATCTCTCTGCAACATATTAAAATGTAATGTTATTTGTCCCCTTAAATAATAAAATATTGGTTTACTGGCGTTTAGAATTGTATTGTGAGGCTTTTAGATACACATATCCTCTTTGCATCACATTTCGGATTTTTACACTTTTTTTCAAAGGACACAGATAATATAATATGACGTTGTATCCTAAAAAACATAAACAACTTGCTCTCATTTATAAAGCAATTTATACAGAAACAAATAAATTGTTAAGACTATATCAACACAAAACTTCTCACAAATTGAAGATGCACTTTCACTGATGTGTAGTGGTAATTGATATCAAGATCAGTTTTCAAAAGTTTATCATTCTTTTTATTATCTGATTTAGAAATATATGAAATAACATTGAAAGTAAGCTCAGTTAATTTACTCAGAAAACAGAAAATAGGAACTAAAAATACCTTATCAGAGACAGCATATGGCCTAACGTTAATAATATAATATTTAAAGTTATTAAGGTCTTACCTTACTAATTATTGCTAGTAATAGTATCAGTACTGCCTGTACTCTTTTAACTCTCGGTATCAAACTTAATCTACCTCTCTGTTGCTCAAATTCAACTTTGACCTACTGTAAAATAGCATCTTTGAGACTGTGAGCATATTGTAGATTAATGACCTTGTACTGTCTATTTGTGCACATGATATTGCTGGGCTGCAATTTCTTGAAGGTTCCAGAATGTTAACTTTCTCATGGGAATACAAAGTGATTTTCTTCGCAAGATGTTAAGTGAGTGATTTGTTAAAATTAGAAAGGTGTCATTTCTTGGTTCTCTTAATTAAACCATCTGTTTGAATATCGGGATCCTTTTTTTAGTTTTATATCATCTATCAATTGGTTCAGATATAAATCTTGATTTGACAGTCTCAGTCTTAGTCATATGAAAAAGTCAAGTATTGTTAATCCCTTTATTTGGATTCCTTTGCATGGTGAGGGGACTTCGCAGAGAAGGTTATGCCAGTACAATTTAACTTCTCTGGGATCCAAACATCCTCTCACGTGTTTTCCGTGCGTGGCGATCCGTGAAGGATCATGATGGTTGAATAATATCGGGGACATTGCAACATTTCAACTTGGCCTTGGATTCCTGTAGATGGTAGTCCTCAGGGTGGCTCCCCCAGGGATAGTCGGCTTGTCCCTTGTGACTAGGATCAATCAGGTACTGGTATCAGATATTCCCAATGGATGCTGTTCAGATTCTGTTCAGATTCTGTGTTCATTGTTGAGTTATATGCCATATTACTTGATATGGATCATGTAAAAGCTAAGCAGTACACTAACTATACAATTTATATATTGATTTTATTAGCTCTTCGAAAGCTCGGGAAATGATTAAAATCATTTCTCGTCCAATTCTCTTAGAAATTTAAGAAAAACTGGATTATATCGTATTGTCCATTATATTCAGTCTTTTAGGATTCGAGGGAATTAGCCAGCTAACATGATGGAAAATCATTTTGCACTGATAATGTAACAGTTTTTTCTATCCTATGTATGACAAGTGATCTATTATTCTTCTATATACAGTGATCATTGAACTGTTTATTCACTACATACTCTTTAATCCTACAGCCTAAATCCATACTTCTGATTATTTTCTTACCATATATTTCTTTCATAATTACTGGACTGATTGCTAGTGGAACCTTGCAAGAGTTTGGTTATTTTAGTTACAGTTAATGTTTTTCACATC